ATGCCATAGGAAACCACGGTGTTTAATATTTCCTGCCGTACAGAACTCTGCTATCGCTCATCTGCATGAGTGAGTTCTAGCACATATATGAGTTTGAGTATTTTAATGAGTTTTAGCATGCGGACTTTAATAGCAGAAAATGTTGCCGCACAAATTGCGGTACTGGGCATGGTCAGTGATAAATCTGTTACAAGAAATATTCATCTTATTTTGCTAAGCAAACACTAGCTGTGTTAAGCAGATATCTGTGCTAAAGCTAAACTTGCAGTTTAGCTGGTTCACCAGATCAGCAGGTAAGGGTGCACTCAACAAAACAGGCCAATCTGACTGCACCACAGGAAACCGGATGAAATCAAACATGTTTTATTGTTTTTTGCATCCCGATTTTACCAGATCTGATATGTCACTAAAGAATTGTGTGCAGGAACCAGCCCAAATTCACCAACTACAAAGATTCATGTTAAGCATTCAGATTTGCTTAAAAAGTCATATGATTAAAATGGAAGCCACACAGAAATACTTGGCCAATATTTGACTGGCAAGCATGTAATTGATTACCAAGTTGCTCAGTTGAAAAATATAGAACTGAGTGTATGTGTTGGTAACACTGCGGTCTACCACGGAGGTGACAAAAACTGTATCCTGTATTACTATATTTGTTCGTCAGGTGAGCCGGTCAAATTGGGAGGGTGCACAGTGGGCGTTGTAGCAAGCAGTGCTGGAGTTGAGTCCATCACAAGTCCTTTCATGAGTCCAGTCACAAGTCCCTTCATAAGGCCAGTCATAAGTAACAGTGTGAACAATGACAGACGAATACTTTTGTCATTGTTCATTGGAATTGCTTGTGAATTGGCTTAGGACTGAATGACTTCGAGATGGACTTGCAGGGACTTGCCAGGACTTGTGATGGCCTGGAATACAACACTGATAGCAATCGTGTCACATTATTATACATGTCTGAACCCTCAGCTGTAGCAGTTCAAATGGCAGTGAAGGAAGGTGAGGGCGCTTTCAATCTCCCGAGCTGGTGCTCCCTCAAGGGACAGAAAGACTGCGACAAGGAAGAAATCATTGATGTGCAGGTACCTTGAAATTCCACTGAAATTGTTGTTGCAATGCTGACATTGTACCTGTCATTAATTCCAATAACTTATAGTTTGCTTATTATTTTAACCATCCATTGATGAAGTGTAAGATAAGCAGACAAATAGCGTGAAGAGTTCAAGTAAAAGATTCATTTTCCCAAAATTTTGAGTGTACTTTATAAGCCAATCTCTGATTTTTGAAGAAAATTTTATTCATTCCATCTATTCTCATCTGTGACATAAAAAGCTTATGCTTGGAGTATACAAAGTCTCATTCAGAGGTACAGCCATACTGATCAAGGCGTAAAGTATGTGGATTTGTGGCATGTACTTATGTATTATGTTTACGCATGAGTGAATCACAGTATTTTTAAGTTCATTTGTCGAATTCAAATTGTTTCTTTTTTTTCTGCATGTAAAGCAAATTTTTTCAGTGTACTTTTTAGAAAATGTGTGATCATGACATATAGAAACCATCTACTGAAAAGTCTTGAACTACCAATGCCGTGCAGCAAAGCAATATTAAAATAATAGATTTACATTAATTTAAAGGCCCTTCCACCTTGCTGATAGATTCTCAAAACTCTCTAGAGAAGGTGCACATTATATCAGTTGGCATATGAGACACAAATGCAAAATTGTTAGTTCATGCATGGTACAACATTCTTGTGAACTGCAAATGTCAAATGATCACCATTTTAGAATGGATGACATGTGATCCACAACTGCCAATCAGACAACAGGGTTTATGTAGTTCTGTGGCCATTTCCATGGTAGAGTAATTCGTTCCTGACCAACCACTACAATTACATGGACAGCAGTGAGCGCATCTCGGACAAGTCAAACATCATGGCACTCAAGTTTGAAGACCAGAACGGGAAGGAGATCAACATTGGTGACTCCTTGGAGGAGATCGAGATTTGGATCCCGCGGCCCAACAGCAAGACACCCCAGTGTCACAGCTATGAGCAGAACTTCAACACCACCAGTCAGTCAGGTACGGCTGGTGCCATTGAAACCTGTCTTTTGCCACATTCCAATCCAAAGCCTCGTTTTGCTGCATTCTAATGGTCCAGGGTTGCGTAGCCTGGACCTGGCACCTGACTACACGTAGAATAGGGAGAAATTTGGTTTGGTTGGAGTGGATTGAGTTTGGGTTGAGTTGGGTTAGGTTGGGTTTAGTTGGGTTGGGTTGGATTGGGTTGTGTTATGTTGTGTTTGGTTGGGTTGGGTTATGTTTGGTTGGGTTGGGTTGAATGGGGTTGGATTGGATTGGGTTGTGTTATTTTGTGTTTGGTTTGATTGGAATCAATGTGGTTGTGTTGTGTTTGGTTTGGTTGGATTTGATTTGGTTGGGTTTGGTTGAGTTGGGTTGGGTTGGGTTGCATTTGGTCGCATTTGGTTGGATTGGGTTGTGCTATGTTGTGTTTGGTTTGATTGGATTGAATTTG